TCTGCCCTAGCAGATCTCTGATGTATCGGCTATCCGAGCTCTCTGCTGCTCATAGGCATTCCGAGACGGCGCCGTCGCGAAACGTGGCGAGACTGGGTTCCCCCCCGTCCCCCTCCGGTAACGCTCCCTCTCGCCCGCTTGTCACTACAGAAAACAAACGGGGAGCTGTCAAATCGAGGCGGCCGATCTGTTCCCCAGGTTTGCAGCCCTCCGAGGGGGGGGCTGCGGGCCCCGAGGCCGTGACGCGCCCTCGGGGGACCGAAGGCGGGCCCTCGCCGGGGCGGAAGACCGGTCCCGGGGAAGCTCAGCCGCCCCGATGCGCAACACGCAGCCCGCAGCGTGCTGGCGCGGAGCTCGAGGCGTAGACCGAAGACGCAGGTCTGGCGCGATACGTCCGCCGAAACGTAGGCCAACACGTGACGAATCAACACGCAACGTGTTAGCACGGACGTTTTTGAACACGGTACGCGTTCCGTGTCAACACGCGCGTATCAGGACAGCCAAGCGGGGAATTGGTCGGCAGGCCCGCCAGGAGGGCCACTGGGCCAGCGTGCGTCGGCGGCGCGTGGAAGATGGTCCCGCGACGGGGAATCGCCTTCCGAGAGAAGGCGGGGGGCCTTCTTAGAGGGGAAGAAATTAGGGGGGCTTTCGTAGAAGCGCTCAAGGATCCGGCGGTTTCTGAAAAAACGCCCTGGGCCCTGCTAGAAAGCCCCCCCTGCCTTCCCAAACATGCAGTGTCCTGATGTTTGTCAAGACGCGGTCCCCGCAAGTCCCGTCCCTTTCCCCAGGGCTGGTTTCTCATCGCGAGTCGTTTTTTAACAGTCCCCTGGCCCGGCGAGGGCCCCTGGAGGCCGAAAATGGCCAAGAGCCAGCCGTCGTGATCACTTCACCATGCGAGCATGTCTGCGACGCGTTCTCAGAAAGGCGCCCACCCCATCCGCGGCACCCCCTTTGCGCGCACCCCCCAAGAAGGATGGCCGGAACGGAGGCTGCCGTCAACTCGGCAGGGCGGGGTCCAGTTGGAGCTCCACGATCGGCGGCGGGCGAGGGGGGGGAGTGAGAAGGAGAAGGCCTTCTCGGAAGGCGGCGGGACTTCTCAGCAGGCCTCTTGCCCCTGAGGCCTCTGGGCCTGGGCTCTTGCTCCGGCACTCGGGCTCGGGCGGGGGTGGGGCTCGTGCTGGAGCGGCCCGGGAAGGGAGGCCCAGGACCGGCTGGCTCCGACCAGGGCCTGACCCAGCTGAGCGACGACAAGGAACGGTTCTGTGGCAACTCGTGGGGGCCTCCCATACCATCTTGCTGGCTCGTGCGAGTCGCGCTAATCGACACTAAATCGACGCTAGTCGACACTAAGTCGGCGCCATCTCATAAATTACCACATTCTCATCGACGCTGATGCACTCTAGAGACGGCAAGAAACGGTTCTACGGCAACTCATGGGAGTCTCCCATAAAGTCAACCCGTCTGATAAGGACGCACGATGAGGATGCAGGGGCCTTGGGAGGCCACGTGGGCACTCTGCGAGCGGGGCACGGCCAGCGAAAGCGGTCAGGGATTGGCCGAAGGGGAATGATGCACGGATAGCCTTGGAAGGTTGCTCATCCTTACTATTCAGGTTGACTGTATCCCAGCTCAGCGCCGAAAGAAAAACGGTTATGTGACAACTCATGGGAGCCTCCCATACAGTCAACCCTCATAATAAGGACGCGTGGTAAGGACGCCAAGGCCTTGGAAGGCCATGTCGGCCCTTTACGGGCGGGGCGCGGCCAGCGAAAGCGGTCAGGGATGGACCGAGGGGGCAAGGATGCAAGGGTAGCCTTGGAAGGTTGCTCATCCTTGCTATGCGGGTTGACTGTATCCCAGCTCAGCGCCGAAAGAAAAACGGTTCCGTGGCAACTGATGGGGGCCTCCCATACCATCCTGCTGGCTTGTACGAATCGGCGCTAATCGACGCTAAGTTGACGCTGCTCGACGCTAAGTCGGCGCCAACTCATCGATTACCAAAGGCTAGTCGACGCCGATGCACTCTGAAGACGGGGTTACGAGGGTGCACAAGGCTCCCATGACTTGCTACAGGAAAGGCGAATCTTAAGCGAGAGCTGAGCCTGCCCCAACCGAGCGACGAAAAGAAATGGGTCCTACGCGAGAGCTCAGGCCCAGCTGGCGGCCCAGAGGGAGCCCCCTGGCTCCAACTTGGCCTGCCTCAACACTGCGGGGACAGCAGGCGACCACAACCACATCGAAGACACATCCTGAGGGATGTCTTGCGCATGCCAAAAACTGCTGGAGCACCGAAACCAGCATCGTGCTGGTTGTGGTCGATGTGGCGTCCCAGGGCGGCCAAATCGCTCACAAACACAACCAAAGTGATCATGTCGAGGTCGGTGGGTTCTCCCCCGAGGGGTCCTCCCGAAAAATCCTCTTTAATGTGATCGTGGTTCTTTGCCGTGTCCAGAAGCACAGCGACCTCACGCCACGGCTTGCGCGGGCCGCCAGCGTGGCACGCCGCGTGTGCCAGAGGGCGCCTGCGCGCGAAGCCTTACGCGGGCAGTTTACGCACGAACGTCCGCGCAGGCGACCCCCGTTTGCCTCCGTCGCTCCGCTGGCAGACACAGCGTCGCCCCAGCCCCGCAGCGGGCAGGGCCCGCCTCCTCGAGGCCCCAGCTCTCACATCGCCAAGCGTGGGCCCCCCCCCCACCCCCCCTCTCTCTGTCTGAACACCCCCCTGGCGCTCCTCCCGTTGTCGCCCTGGCGCGGTTCGCAACCGGCTTGCCGCTCGGGCGCAAGGCGGTCCGGAGTGGTTCTGGGGCGGAGCGTGGGCCTTCACAGGCAGGAGACGTGTCGACGACCTGTTCCCTCTACTCCTCCCCTTCCCCCGCTCTCTCCTCCTCTCCAGTCCCTCCGCCCCCACCACCCGCGTTCTGCGCCTCCGCGCGCCGCCGCAGGCGCCCGACCTCGTCGGCCAGCTGGGCGAGCTGGCCCATGGTGTCCTCGATGAGCTGGGCGAGCTGACCGACCTCCTGCCAGCGACACCCACGAGAGCGGCCCCGTGGGCCAGAGTGACCTCTGGTGCGCGGCTTTGGAGGGAGCGGCTGGGGAGGCCGAATCTAAGCAGTCCAAGCCCCAGGCGCGCCAGCCACAGGAGGGCACCCACCGTGTACACCTTCACCGATCCTGGTCGGGCCCACCCTAGTGCCCAGGATCGGAGCAGACGCCCTCCCGAATTGGGCAGGAAGGCATCTACACCGATCCTGGGCCCAGGATCGGCCTGGCCAGGATCGGTGCAGATGCATAACTGTGGCCTTCCGAAGTAGTGCCGGCGAGACCCGCTGTGGGCCCGCACCAAAGGTCTCTCCTGCGAAGCGCCGCTCTCGCGCGCAGCCGATCCTCGGAGAGCTGGGCGAGCTGGACCGGGGTGCCCTCCGGGCTCACCGCGGCCGCCCTCAGGCCCGCGCGGCCAGGCTCCTCGACGTCGGTTCCTGGCTGGAGGTTGCTTCTCTAGCGGTATCCCCGTGTACATGCTTCGATGCTGTCTTCGTGAAATAGCGCGCGTGCCGTTCGCATCACGAGCCAGCGGAAAGGAGATAGCGAAGCAGATCTGCAACCCCAGTCGAGAGGGGCGAAGGCTCATGCCGCACTGTGCAGCGCCGCAACGCTCAGGCCGAAGCATCAACCTCAAAGCGAGGACCATCGGCTTACACCAGTGCCTTAAGACAAGCTGTGAAGACAAAACGAACAAAAACACTTGAGTCCACAGCATGCGTCGATCAGATTACGGCTATACTGCGCCACCGACTGTCGAAGAAAACTCGCGCGCGCGTAACCCTTACCGGCGATGACGGCGGGACTCGCACATGTGCCCAACGCGAGTGGGGAGGGAGCGGAAGAAAAGAGAGGGGGAAGAGAGGGAGGGGAGGGACGGGGAGAGGACAAAACAGCAAAAATCACCTGGACAGCCCCTCCTGCCGAAACAGAGGAGCCAGGCCAGATGCATCTGGCATCACTGGCTGGAGGGCTCTGCGGCTGGGGGCGGACAGCGGGCATGCCAGGCGGAGCGGGAAATGCAGGAGGGAATTGGTGTTAGGTCGGGCATGTCCCCCCGCAGGCGGATTTTGGAAGGAAAAAAAAACTCAACAAAAATATGCAAAAAATCGTCCCCAGACTAATTGTTTACTGTTTTTGAATATTCCTCCTGCACAGGGACAGGCCCGACTCAAAATTGCTGCGACGGGACGCAGCAGGCTGGAGACGCACGCCCGACCCGAGCATGTAGCACAAAAACAGACCAGCATACCGTTGCCGAAGCGGTGTGGCCAGAACGCGCCCGCCAAGGAACTTTCTATTCAGCAGGGACCGACCGTCCCGGCATTCCTACAGGCCTACCACGAAATTCTCTTAGGATCCCAAAATGTTCTAAGAACGAACCCAAATATCAGCCAGCGTTGACTCCAAATAGATTAGAGGACCCAAATCAGGGAATCAGAGGAATCAAGCATGCTTAGAATCCGCAACTCAGCAAGCAAGCAAGCGTGCAAGCAAGCGCGCTGGCGCGCAAGCAAGCAAGCAAGCAAGCAAGCAAGCGTGCAAGCAAGCAAGCAAGCAAGCAGGTATAGGCATAGGCGTAGGCATAGGAGTTAGGGGGAGGCATAGGCATAGGCATAGTCACAGGAATTAGGGCATAGGAATTAGGGGGAGCAACGGACCAAGTCGTAGGGATTGAGCTAGGACTCCTATAGGGCAAGCCTATTTGGAGAACGAAGTTCTTAGAGCATGAACTCGATGCGTTAAAACAAAAAAGAGTCAGCTTGAAATGTTCTAAGAACACTTCGTGCAACCCACAAAAGGTTCTTAGAATATTCTTTGGTCGGCCTATAGGCGAGCCGGGACGCTTCGCAACTGCTTGATTCTACGATTGGATCCCGCAGCGCGCGCATCGACCCTGCGCGCCGACGCGAGCCCGGAGCACAACGACGGCGGGGTCGGGGAAACAGCAACGACCTGGGGCGCAGCCCCCTGGCAGCGCACACCCTGGGGCGCGAGCACCGAGCTTTGCAGCGGCGCGCGGCGGCGCCGTGGGTGGACAGAGCCCCCCAGAAAGGGCAGCCGTGCCCGCAAGGACGGGCGCATCAGGCGGCTGTCTTCGCGGACCACTTTCGTAGCTTGGACGAGACAGAGCATAGGACGGCCCCCGGAAAGCCAGCGGGATCACTACGCCTGCGGTGGGCCCCCTGTTGGAGGAGGAAGAGCAGCGGCAGCAGCACCACCACCACCACCAGCACCAGCACCAGCAGCCCTGGCCAAGCCCATCCTGGGCCCCGTACGGGCGCTCTGGCCAGGAGAATCGATACACGCCAATCATCCGACGTCTTGCACTTGTTAACAATACCTGCCTGGAAATCCCGGCCCTTTCCCCAAGGGTGGCTTTCCATCCTGAGGTCGTCATTTAACGGTCTGGGGACCCAGCGAGGGCCCCCAGATGATGGGCCTCTTTTCCACCACCACCACCACCACCATCAGTTCGAGGGGGGTAGGAGGTGGAGGACGAGGAGGAGGAGGACGACGAAGAGGACGAGGAGGAGGAGGAGGAGGAGGAGGAGGAGGAGGAGGAGGAGGGGGAGGAGGACCCCCTCCCCCTCCAACTTCTGGTGGTGGTGGTGGCAAACAGGCCTATCACCAAAGGCCGAAAACGGCGAAAGACCTCTGCCTTGCTTCCTCAGAGCGCTGGAGGCCTTGACACCCTGGCCCGGGGGCCCAGGACGGGCTTGACCAGGGCCGGCGGTGGTGGCGCACAGCAGCGAGTCCCCGACAGCAGCAGCAGCCCTGAGATCTGACGTAGCGCCAGGCTTCCAACATCTCTGAGATCCTGGCGACTCAACTTTTTCGAGCCCGACGTTTTCGCCTTATTTCTTCGAGGTGTCGAATCTCAGGGAAAGTCACGACCAGAGCCCTAGACCTCTTCTTTCTGTGAGGGCCCCGGGGCCCGAAGCCGGGCGAAAGCGCCCAGCTCGAAAGAGTCGCATCGCCCAAGCGTCGGGCGTCTCGATTTTTGTTCGAGACACGGGCCCCCGACCTCTCGACCACTTCCCTGGGACCGGTGTCTCGTCCCGAGTGGTTTTTTGACTGCCCCGAGGTCCGGTAAGGGCCCAGAGGGGCCGAAAAGTATAATAGAAAGCCTCCGCCTCGATGTTGTCGAGACGCCGGGATGCCAATGGATCGCCCAGATCTCAGAGTGAGCAGCGGGGAGCGCGGGCCCCGTCGGCGTTCTGGCGCGCCCACCCCGCCCGGCCGGGCGCGCGCAGACTCGGGCAGCGGCGGCGCTGGCGCCGCGTCGCCGTGCACGGGCAGCGACGGGAAGGGCGCCACGGGGAGCGAGGTGTCGAGCACGCCGGGGGGCGCCGCCAGGGCCACCTGGCGCCGGGGCTGGGCGGCCGCCCCAGCGGGCCAGGCGGGGCGCCAAGAAGAGTGGCTATCAGCGGCGACGCGGACACGTCGGAGCCCCCCATTGGGCACGGGAGGGAGAGGAAGAGGCGCGGAGGGAGGAGGGAGCCGCGGGCGGCGGAGCATGGCTCTGCGTGCTCGACCACGGGCCCCTCGCGGTCTTCGGCGGTCCTCTGACGGTCTTCGACCGTCCTCGGCGGCTTCTGGCGGCGGCGGTTGCTGGCGGTCGTCGGCAAATTACTGGCGGTCTTCGGCACGAAAGCTGGCTCGCTGCGTTGAGCAAGGGGTGCGTGATCGAACACCTAGCACGGCTGCCTTGGCAATACTTGAAACCGTTTCTTAGGCCTCCGAGGAGTCCCCTCTGTTTCCTCCTCCTCCTCCTCGTCATCATCATCATCATCATCATCATCACCACCACCACCACCACCACCACCATCATCATCATCATCATCATCATCATCATCATCATCATCTCATCATCATCATCATCATCATCATCATCATCATCATCATCATCATCATCATCATCATCCTCCTCATCCTCATCCTCATCCTCATCCTCATCCTCATCCTCATCCTCATCCTCATCCTCATCCTCATCCTCATCCTCATCCTCATCCTCATCCTCATCCTCCTCCTCCTCCTCCTCCTCCTCCTCCTCCGCCTCCGTCTCCTCCTCCTCCCCCGCCTCCCCTGCTTCTTCATATTATTCTTAAGGTTTCCCATTATCAGCAGCAGCAGCACCACCACCACCACCACCACAATCATGAGGCCTCCAAGACTGCACAAGAAGAACCCTCCTGGAGGTCCTCCAGGGGGGGCGAAAAGGTCAAACTCAGTTGGTCCTCTTCTGGTGCTTGAAAGAGTTTGGCATTTGCTTCTTCTTTCTGGCCTTCCAAATGCCCAAGACGGCACAAGAGGCCCCAAGATCGCCCCAAGTTCGCCAAAGAGGCTTCCAAAATGGCCACGAAACAGCCCAAGGGGCACCCAAGACGGCCCCAAGAGGGCCCCAAGAAGGCTCAAAAGACCTCCAAGATGACCAAGATAGAATCCAAGACGGCCCTG